TATTAATTTTTCCTTCAATAAAAGCATTAATTTTTTTTAAAAAAAATAAAATAAGGAAAGAAATCTAAGGAAAAGTTAAAGTATTAATTTTTTCTTGAAATTTTTTTAAATATTAAATAAACTGACGACAGAGTCCTTATAAGAGAAATAATAGTTTTCTTGTATACTCTTGAGGTGAGAGAATTTTCTTAATTTTTTTTCAAAAGTATTAAAGTCAATTAAGAATAATTTTCAATAATTAATTATCTAGTATGATTTTTAAAACTCAATAGATAACATGAAATCAAGTTGGTACCATCATTCGATAGATGTTGTTAGGGTACTATAACCTTTCTCATACATAACTGTACTCTCGGACCTAGTTTTAGTTTCGTAGTCATTGAATCTAACTTTTAAAGATACCTAAGTCAAACTTAGGATTTCTTTTTAAAATGGAATAAATTCAGTTAGGTGACCAATCGCACCTAAATAAAAAAGATTGGTAACAACTTCTTAAGTCAATGTCTAGCGATAAGTCAACGGATCTAAACGTTATGATAGTTTGTGACTCCACTAGAGATAAGCCGAGAGTCAGGCTAGCAAATAAATTTGTGTTATCCAAAAACCTAATAAAATTGATTTTTTAGATATTTATTTATTTATTTTGCTTATTATGTCATTTATATGCATGTGCATAACATGAGCTCTATACTTGAACTTCATCCTTTTAGGAGGGAGTAAAATACCTATGCTTTTATAAGGTTTAATGCCTCCATAGTGGCTAACAAAATACTTCCACTCAAATTGAACTTTTTTCTACTTATAGCCTATAATGGATGAAGATCGAGGTACCTCACTAGTCTATGATGGACAAAGATATGAAGAATAATTTGAGAATCTTTAGATTATCAATATTAAACCACATATAGTGACTATAAGGAACCTTACCTATAGCTAGAGCCTTATCTTCTTCTCCTTTGTAGAAAAAATCCAATAGTTAAGTTACATTTTTACAATGATTGATTTTCCTTGTGTGAAAATTAACTGTTTGTACATATCATGTTGTATAGGAGGCCTTAATTTTTTATCTTTTAGAGGGAACCTCCCAACTTGCCATCACCTTCTACTTGCTTTTGGCATCGACAAAATCCTAAGCTACAAAGCTCAGCTTCTGAGAGATAGGGGGATCAATTATTTTAAGTCCCTAGAGGGAGCCTCAAGCTATATGAGCTATTTTTTACCCTTTTTCAGCAACAGGTGGTGAAAAAACTTACAGAAGTCAAAAATCTGAAAAAGCTGGGCTTCATTAGACATATCCACAAGAGAAGCTAAATGTTAGAAAAATTTTACAAAACTAAATAATTTATAAAGTTACCTTAAACCTACACTAGTATCTGATCCTGTTTACTATTTCAAGAGAGGTCAACTCATATGCATCTATGACCACCTCTCCTTTTTTGTTAAACTCCAAAATTTAGTCTAAAGCATTAAGGTTTTTCATTGTAAGATGAATGGGTTTATTGTAAAAAATCTCAAGCTCATTCAAAATCTCTTATATCTTGGGCTCATTTTTTTATTCTTATTTTTTTTATGAATACAGAAAAAGAGTAACTTCTAATTTTTTATTAAGCTCGAACAGTTCGAGAATATCTTTTTCGTTGGATGAGCTATGATGTAAAATCATCTCTTACAAGGTGGGTACTTCTTTATTAAGAAGAACTTTTTAAATAGAAGGAGAAAAATAAGAATACCTAAGTTTTTACAAAGAATAATAAAAGCTATTATGTACCGAAAAAAATTAAAGTTAGCTGAGTGATAGTTAAATTATAAGAAAAAAAAGTTCAACAAAAAGATGTAGAAAAAATCTTAGATCGACCATCATTGAATCCCAATACACCTAGAATTGGTGACCTTTACGAGAGTAGTATCTTGGTCCTTGATGGTCGGCATTGATATACTGTACCCCTTATTTGAAAAGTTAAAGTTGACCCTAAAGATCAAATATGGTAAGCTGAGCACTTGTTAAGAAAGTCTTTAAAATTAGTCTTACCTTTTAAGCTCTTCATCACATCTTTAGAATTTAGACCTAAAGAATAATGAGTGAAGAAAAAGACTTGAGCGAGGTCCTCTGAATTTGAGGAGTACCCCTGTTCACCCTCACTTTTTTCTTAACATGGTTGGTTTCCCCCTTTTGCTCTTCATCAAAACCTCTTCATCATTGGAGCCTTCATCATCAGAAGACTCAAACTCTTAAGTAGGAGCAAGATTTCAAACAAGAACAACAACGGAGAACACTATGATATCTGAGGAAAAAGAGGAGTAGAAAGACTCTTCAAAAAGAAAAGAGAAATAAGGAACGTCAATAGGAGCTGGCTCAATAAAAAGTGTAGAGAAAAAAAAATAGAAGGTTAGACCTCAAAATAAAGAAATAGTAGAAGAAAAAGGTCAGCCAAAGAAGTAGGGCTAACCTTTAAACATTGGAACTAAGAGGTTCTCAAGCTCAAAGTTGATAGCAGCCACAAGATCATTTATGCTTTGATAGAACCGTTCTCTTTTAGCACGAGTATTATCTTTTACTCTCTTCTGGTCTTTTTTAATCATCGGGTTTAGCTAAAAGGCAGTCCTAAAGTAGTCTTTTCCTACAATGATAAAAAAGACTTTATCACATTTATCTCTACTACCAAGCCAACCTCCCCTTAAAACTACTCTGTAACTTCATAAACTCTTATCATAAAAGACATTGTAAAAAAAAAGGAAAAAAATGTATCGAAGTAAGAGAAAGGTAAAAAGGTCGATTGAAAGAAATAAGAACTTTAAAATCAATAAAAATAGGTCTATTTGAAAGTAAAAAAATAACAAAGTGAAAAATGAAGACCCTAAGGGACCTTTTTTATAGCCAACGATGAGATCAGATGAATGTTCTAGATTATGCCACATGTTCAGACAGTTATTAAGGTCAACACTTCGCCTTTCCAACTCTGGATTTTTATCGCTCAAATGTTTCTTTCTTCATTAAATGTAATTTTTAAATAGTAAAAAGGTAAATTAATCAATCCACCTATTCAAACCGGTCAAATCGATCATGAAACCCAGATCGAACTGGCCAAACAGACTAATCACCATGTCAACCCTATACTAAACCTGAGAATCAAGCTCCAACACCAAAAAGAAACATAAGTCTTATGCTGGGCATATGAATCACGTCAATGATTACTTATAAGCTTGCTTGGCCCCAACCTCAAGCCACTTAAACACAAGATCACTCACCTCGACAACCCTAGAATGAACCAATTAAGCATAAAACCCAAAGCTCACACTTGAGATTAAGCTCGCAACTATGACCATACGACAGGTCGGCATACCCTATAATGGTTATGACTACACTCAACAACATACAATCAATCATAAACTTCTTATACTTGACTCTCACATCAACCCTAAGAACATTTATCCTCAACAACATAAGGTCGAGCCTAAGGCATAAGTCTTCAAACCCACACTCAAAAAACTAAAGGTCGAACTAGCAAATGTGTATGCCAAACCAGCTTAATTAAGCAACTATCAGTCTAATACTCAAATTGTTTAGTGGAATGACAAAATGTTAGGGGTATTTCTGGGTCCATAGGGCAAATTGATCTTTTCCCTCATTAGAGACTATTAACAGACAGCCAAGGGAATATTTTTACTTTGGGCTAACTTGACATGTACAATAGCACATCAGCTTAACTACATCATTATCCTACCCAATAAACCCTTCACCTTTCGCTTATAAATAAAGCCATCCAGGTACTATCTAATCAATTTTATTTTTTCCTTTACTTTTCTATTTTCCTCTCTTTTTGACCTCTTTTAGCAGACCTCTGACTTGAGCGTCAAAGTACAAATGCAAGGAACACCCCCTACTTTTGCTTTTTACTGCTCTCTTTCTCTTATGATTTTAGGATCCCTAGGCTCAGCTCAAAGTTCAACATCAACAAGTCTCTTCCAAATTTAGCGATGAATGGAAAATGTCTTCGATAAAGTCCATGGAAGAAGAATCTTTCACATGTAACAATGACAACTTCGGATGTTTAAGGTTTTTTTCTTTTCATAAAAAGTGGGGACAAAAATAGTTTGTGAAATTTCATCTTACAAATAATTTAATAAAAAATTTAATAAAATTATAAATCAATAAATTTATAAAGTTTAAAAAGAAAATTTGAAAAAATTATTTAAAATTTAAATTTAACCGATATTTATTCAACAATAAAAATTTTGTTAATATTGTTACTAGAATATCAATTTATAATATCAAAATTTATAAAATTATTTTTTAGATTCACATAATTTATTAATAAAACTTTTTAATCTATCAATTTTGATTTTTTATTTTAAATTTTATTTAATCATTTCTAATAAAAAAAATTTACAAACTTTATTTAAAAATTTTTTTTTCGAGGAGCCATTAATTATTTGAGCTAAGCAGTCTTTGAATTTAACGAATTGGAATTTGCTTTTATTTGTATCTAATTAATTATTATTAAAATTTTTCACAATCAAATTACAATAAAAAATAATATTAATTTAATTAGTGAAATTATTTAAAATTAAAATAAAATAATAATAATAATATATAAATAGGGATATTTTTATTTTTTATTTCACATATATTTTAAAAAATTATCCATCCAATTCATCAAATAACTTTTTTTATCGTATAACTTTTTCTTTTCAAAATATTTCTTTCACCTACATAATGAGTATTTTAAAATTTAGTATGGATAAAAGCTTCTTGGTATGTTGGATGAACTTTTCTACTCAGGAAATTTTAATAAAGAAAATGCCCGCCATTTTATATATAAATTAAAAACATTAGTTTAATTTAAGCAAAAATAAAAGTGATTTAAGATGTGAAATGAGTGATTGTTTTACGATATATATTTGAATTATAATTTAATTAATTTTTATAATTCGTGAATGGAATTTTTAAATTTCACATTTATATTAAAAATTTGATAACAATGTTTTTTAATTATATCATTTTTATTTTTTGATGTACCTTATAAAAAGGAATATATGTCACCTCTTCTATTCAACTTGGAGCTTAAATTTTTCACTAAGTGAATGAGATGATTTTTCCTATAGTAGCAATAATCAATTTGAAGATTTATTTGACAAAGACATCAAAATCTAAAAGTGGAAAGATTGGAGATACTTGAGTGAAATTTGATATTGAAGTGCAATAAAAGAGTTTAGTGAATTAATTATTTAGTTCAATAACTTAACCTGCACTAATTTAAACTGCTTTATCAAAAAAAAAAAAAAAAAAAAAAACGTTACTATAAAAATTTTAAAGCAAAGTAACTTGCCTTTTGTGCGTGACAACTGACAAGCTTTGCATATTGCGTTGCGTGAGGGGTGTTTTTTTGTGGTTAAATAAAGTGAAAGACGAGGACTATTTTGCCAACGCACAATTTCCTTTTGCCATTTCTGCAAGACTAACATGTGGGAATGGTGTGTGTAGCTGGCACGTAGAAGAGTAACTTATCTCAAAACCTAGCAATTTGCTTGCAGTTTCAACAACAATGGAGGGTATTGTGGTAAAAAACCAGCAGAACATTGAAACTTGAAAAGAATGCTTAGTCTCCAGAATCAGCGCCCGGAAACAATTCCCATATACGCTTCTACACAGCCTTGATAACTCCGCTCCAGTGAGAGGAAGAGAGTAGTTGAATGTTTCTTTTTACATGACAAGCAACAATTAAACATCTTAATTCACAGAAAGAGAGAGTGATACCTTATTTCTTTCTTATTGTTTCTTTTCCTTGGCCAGATAGAGGGACAGATGGCAATGCGAGAAGGAATTATATCTCATAAAGGAAATGGAAATGGGTACAGGGGAAGACCATATGGGTTGATGCTGCTTTTGGCATTTGGGGCTGCACTGCTTGGTGTTATTGCGCTGCACAAGTTGAGGGAGAGACGCATCTTCAACCTCCTTGTCGAAGAGAAGAGCCGTCAGCTCATTTCTCCTCAGCTGCTGTTGCGGGTTCTTCTCTCTCTTTCTCTCTCCACCATGCACGCAATGTTGCTTATTACGTGTCGCTCTCTTTAAATGACAAATCACAATCATCCTGCATTTTTCTCTTTAAGTTTCGCGATCCAAGACCAATAGGGTAACTTAACATTTTTTTTTAAAGGGAAAAAAAGGGGTAAAATTAATCCATTTTCAAAATGAAAAAAAAGAAAAACTTACTTTATGCAATTCATGGAGGAAACTAATCTCTTGATTTCGAATGTTTATGTGAAACACAATATCTTGTGCTTTTTGAAATCATAAAGGCAATTTGTATTTTCTAGTCAATGATGCATGAAAAAAATAATAACCGTGACTCTGCCTATATTACTATTAGGTCCGTGCCTTCTTGAATTTGAATAATTATATATAATTCCTGTGAGTTGAACTTTAAACGCTTGAGATTGTGGGAATGAGGAATCGCATGGGCTCTTAATGTTCTTCGACATGATGTTGCGTCTTTATAGAGTAAAGGCCTCTTATCTTAATGATGGTTTGACATTTTTCACATTTTAGTGAGATGCAAATGCAAGTTTTGCCATGCGATTGCCTCTAGGAATTGTTTCTCAGCTTACGTTGTTAAGAGTGTCATCTTCTGGGGTAAGGTGGACTGAGACCCTCACAAGTGACTACTACTTGGCTGTGCTTAAACATCAAAATCCCTTTGTTTTCCATTTCTTTCTTCTTTCCTCTTAATTTAAATTAAAAGGAGTCAACGAAACAAACTCATAGAACAGTTTTCTTTGTTTGCCTCGGTCTAGAACAGAGACCAAACGCAGAGCATTTAATTTTTTTCCTTTTGAAATGTAATTCTTGTCCTAGCTGGTAATTATTTTATTTTCTGAAAAAATGAAATAAGAACTAAATTTGAGTCCTGCTGCTAGTAGTCTCCTTAGGTGGGCAATTTGTAAATCTAATGGCAGTTCTCTATGAAGAATGCGGTTTAATCTGGCCCTGGACTGTGAAAACCTCCCCTCACCCTAAACTTTTTTTTTAATTCCAAAGTTTTTCTACATATGTTCTTTCCTGACTTTTGCCCAGATAACTGTTCCCTTATGCTTCGGGTTACACTTGTAACTTGTAAGCATGTAGATGTTTACACAGAGTCATACATGCAAAGAGAAAGCCGAACAGCGGATGAGATTTGGGTGTTGCATAAACTATGAGATGTTTTCCATGCTCTTAGGGTTCTAAATATTAACACTATTGTATTCTTTTTAATCACAGAGGGAAAAAGAATGCACCAAAGAAATGAAAAGGAAAGCTGAAGAGACAAAAGCAAAGATATACTCACTTAGAAACCAAAAAATGGAGCTTGATCGTAGGCTCTTGGAAATGCAATCTACAATTGATTCCCTTAAAGATGAGCAAAGGACCATGGAGTCCGAACTGGAGGAGAAACAAAAAGAGATCAAACTGCTGCGATATAAAGACATGGAATCAGGAAATGAAAATCCTCAGCTGATAGCTTTAACTGCAACTTTGAAGCAAAAGGAGGCTGAAATTGAGGACTTGAAGCACCGTCTTGAATCCCCAGTTAGAGTTTGGTCTGTGAGTACTGATGACCCATCAAATCCGCCGGTAAATATAACAGTTATGGGAAGTTTGGAGCAAAAGAAGGGGGGGAGAGTATATGAATCTTCCGCATATAAGAGTGGTGACAATTCAACAAAAGCTCAGGAAGGAAATGAGATTACATCCAATTTTCCTCAAGAGGAAGACATCAGAGAAGGGGTTGAAGATGGAAGTGAGAAAAGGGGAGAAAGTACTCTCGGAATGGACATGGCTGGAGGAGGACAACTGCAGAAACAGGTAAGTTTGGGAGAAAATGCCAGAAATGAGGGGCCCACGGGAGAAATGAAAAATGAGTATTCTAAACATACAGGTACTTCTGGAATAGATGGGGAAAAGAATCATGCAAATGCTACTGAAAAAATTGATGACGTGGATGAACAAGAAGAGAAAAGTAGCTTCACTGGGCAGCTTGGAAAACTTAAAAATCCCCAGCAACAAGCAGAGAGTCAGAAACTCCAACGAATTCACAAAGGTGGGAAGAAACTGAAAATAGATGAGATTTCTAGAATTTCAAGATTGCCAGGGAAAAGATGGAGAATTCTTGCTAGGAATAGGTTCCTAAAGAAGAATGTAAATTCCGAAATAGATGGAGCGGAAAGCATGACAAGTAGAGGATTTTCAAAAGAATATAAAGATGTTGTAAGAAGCAGGGAAGAGGGAGCAGTTTATGACGAGGGGAAACCCAAAGGGAAGAAACAGAAACAGGTCTGAGAAATGAAATGGATCTTACAAATGCTAATTTGACCGAGCATCTGAACTCTGAAGACACTGAAGATATGAAACACAGAAAAGTGAGTGCCGCGGGAGAATATGCAACATCGAGAAACCATGATAACTCTCAAGCAACAGAATTACCAGAGAACACAGGTGTCAATGAAGAAGTCAATAATTATACACATGATGCCAAGCAGTTGAAAGTTGAAGAAGCAGCCCGCATCAAACAGAATATGAACAGCAGGGACGTCAAGGAACTGGAGAAGAAAGCTGAACTTAATTCTACCGACGGAGATGAAATGGAAGAAGATATGGAGTTTGCGGATAAAGAAGAGCAGGAGACAGAAGCAGCTAATGGTGACCTTTCCACTGACTTTATGTCTGATTCGGAAGATAAAGAAGGGTACATGGAGGAAACAAATGAGACTGAGTTTTAATTAACATAACTTTTTTAAGTGTTCTGTCCTAGTTGTGGATCTTTTAAATACCTATCCAACTCTTTTTTGGTCAAGACTTCGTTTCCCATTCAAAACACTGTCATTCTTCTCAATGATTTTTCCTTCTCCTTTTCGCTTAGCATCCATTGCCTGCTGAACCCGGGTTAAAAAACCAATATAGAAATAATCCAGCCAATTTGATAATTCAAAGGTCCACAAGGCATTCAAACCCAGGAGGTTTTTTGGCCATCGTCCAAACCCAGGTGTTTAAAACATACACAATCTCTTTCTACAAATGATAATGGGCATTTCTCAGGGTCATTCTTTTTTTTTTTTTTCAAACCTTTTAGTTCAATACTTGAATAAATCTAAAGAAACAGTAGCTACTGGACCAACACTGCCATGGCCAACAGAACCCTACTCTCCTTGAAAATATTGTTTGTGCTTACCTCAACTTTCCTGGTTTGGGACTAGAATATGCAAAAAAAAAATCACCCATACAACAAATCAAAAGCCCTGACATAGAGATTCTTTAGTAGATGGTCAGTTGAGACCGCATTACTATACATTCCTGCTATTGATACAATATCGAACCTATTGCATCACATATTACTAATCATAACCATTGATCAAAATAATTTTTTTGACCAAAAAATTAAGTTAAGAAAAATAAAATAAAGATTGCTCATTCATTTTATATTTTCCATCAGAATTTATGGATGATCACGGGATCAAGTCCAATCAGAACAACACGGACAGAAGCATCATTCATTAACTTTTCAAATCCGCCAACAGATTTTGGGTCTTAAAAACATGTTGCATTCTACTATTGGGAGGACAAGCCAATGATACAGGCTGTCTTAACCGATAAGGAACTGACCTCCAAGTTTACTCACTCATCATTCTCCTAGGGAAAAAGAAATGATGAATAGGAAAACAGAATAATTTGCCAACAAAAGAGAAAACAATATCCTAGGACATGAAAATTCCAGCCACACAATATTTCTGCGAATATTGTAAAAAAATAGAAGCTCCAACCGCATTACCGTGCGGTTTCCACCACGTTATGCAACAAAAGAAATATTAAAATGAGGGAAGAAAGAAAATAGATACAAAACAATAGTTTAAAACCTGATTGCATGCTTAGGTATTCCATCATGCCTTTAGAAATTGTTAAGCACCCCCATTATTCATTCCTTGTTAGATCCTCAATTAAATAGGGTAATCCCAGTAGAGACCATCAACAAGTAGAAGAGCTACGAGGTAAATTGACTGCACTTGAGCTCCAAAACATAAACATAAGCTCATATAGTATGAAAAACTACCTATGGTTTTTCCAACATAAAGGAACAAATTATCCTGATATCTCCAATTTATGGATCTAGATATTTACTGCAGGTGACAATATTCATGCCAAGGTGATTGAGTGAATTGAGAATAAGTACGATAGAATGATCTTGAAAGATTTATGGTTGTAAATTTACCATTAAATAAGCTTTTGGCAATTTAAAAATTGTAAATATTAAACAATATAGTCAATCAGTACGTAGAAAGTAGAAACATCTCCAACAAAATGGGATATATACCTGAGACAACAGAAAAGCCATAACAAGCATTGCCCTAAGCATTAAATGGAAAAGGAAATTTTGATAGACACTCCAGATAGCCATTCCTTCACTTCCATTATATCATGGAAAATGGGGGAAAAATGCAACGATTCCAATCTAGTAACAAGTAGAGTTCAGAGTATATAATAGTCCCTCTTCCTTCTTGCCTTTGCCTCTAGTGAAGAACGAAGAACTTGTATCCACTAAAGAAAAGCAGACCCCAACCAGATAAAGAGACGATAACAAACTGCACAATCATACAAAACAGTCAAGACGGTCTCCTCATTTAGGCTTCTCTAATTTTTGCTACATTTGTTTTCTCACCAATATACATTAAACTGATTCAGAAACAGTGCCTAAGAACATCTGTCTGCTGTAAGTGTAATAAACAAAATTTTAACTTGAAATAAATGAAATGTAGCATTGACCACGGAGAGGGCTTAAAGTATATAAAATCAAACAAAAAAATCCCAATTTTCCAATCTGCAAAGTAAAACAACCGGGAAAAAAAAAGGAACTTGGAACCAGGGTAAGAAAATGCAGGCAAAACTGAAACATAAAGCATGAAAAGAAACAAACTGACATGTTCTTCTTTCCATTTAGATGGAATCATTGGGTATTTCCAGAAATTAACCCTTGGGGGTCCATGGTGATCTGCAAAATGGAAAAAAAAAAGAGCTCAAAAAAGGTTTTGCAAAATCATGATCTTAACTTTCTAAGATTCGTTAGTTTCAACTACGATCTAAGGTAAATGAGATCAAAATTGGGAGACAAATTTTACATTTATTGAAGATAATATAAATTTAAAATGTAAAAAATAAAAATGGGTACATGGAAAATACCTGCGGCGCCGGCGAGACCACGACGAGGAATGAGAGAAGCGGCTTGAGACGGAGCCGGTGTTCGACCTAGAGTCGCTGCTCTACGAGCTGCAAACGCCGCCAAAGTAGCCATCTGTGTGCTTGCTTTTCTTTCGTTTTTTTGTTTCTGTCTAGGGTTACTTTTTTAGAGAGGGAGAGAGCGGAAGGGAATCGATGATGTTTTACAACGGAAATGGTAGAGATGAAACGACTATGAAGAAATCTGTTATAAGTGTTTGGTCACGGAATCTTAAATTTGGGAGGAAATGTGACATCGAGAAAGTATGATTTTAAGGGAAATGTGATTTTTTATGTCATTTCATTTTTTAATTGTTGTGTTTTATTTAGAGAAATATGAGATTATTTTATCATATATTTTTATTATAATATTTTTTATTTCATAACAAACATAACAATATATTAATTATTAAATTAATTTTATTCAAAAAATATAAAAAACATAACATTCGAATGACTAATTATAAAAAAGATAATTAATTATCAATTATTACGTTATTTCTTCCAAGAAACACAAAAAATACAATAATTGAACAAACACAAGGAATAATTATTGTGTTTAACTCCAAAAAAATATAATAATTAACAAATTTATAATAAATATTCATTAAATCAAAAGCTAATAAGTATAAAAAAATAAATGTCGAATATTACATTTTTGTTAAAAGAAACATAATAATTGTCATACTTATAATAAATATTTATTAAATCAAAAGTCACTAAATCGAACGTAAAAAAAAAAAAAAGTCAAATATTAAGATTCTAAAAATGTAATAATTACCATATCAATAATAAATGTTCATTAAATTAAAAACTATTAAGTTAAATATTATATTTTTATACAAAGAAACATAATAAATAATTATAAATATTGTATTTCAAGGCCTACAAATGCAATATTTGAGTGAAAAAATATTTAAAAAAGTACTTAATTAAAAAAATTTTAAATAAAAATAATTCACACTTACTTAATTTTCATTTATTGATTTTCATTGGAGTAAAATAAAAAGAAAAAAAAATTATTAAGATCAAATGTGAGGCAAAAGTCATTTTTCTCCCAAAATCTTAAAAAATCACAAGAAAATATGAGTTTTTAATTTCGAAACTTTAGGTAGAATCTAAAATTACTTCGAGGAATCTAATACTCTCGAACCAAACGTGAGAATTTAAATACCTAATAGCAACATTCTAAAAAAAAATCGTAGATTCTTTTAAACCAAATGCGTCTTTATTGTTTGGAGAAATTGACCTTAAACGAAAACTATTTGATTAGTCAATCATTCTATGTTGAATTGGAGTTTGGAGGTGAAACACCTAAAACAGTGCATTAGCACTTTACTTTTTTATTCAATTATTTCTTTGTGAAGTCATAAAAATTAATATAACTAGAAAAATGCTAGTGAATGGTTACGGATCAAATATTTTTTATTGAGTTAATAGCACACGTGATCCTTAAATTTTGGGTCAAATTCTATATTGGTCATTAACTTTAAAAAATTTTAATTAAGTCATCAATTGCACAAATGTGTGTCAATATAATCCCTCTGTCTACTAAACCGTTTAAATTAATAGTAAATTCTACGTGGAATTTTTTTATAATTTTTAAACAAATCATAAAATAGAAAAGACTAAAGACTAAAAAAAAAAAAAACTTTGACCCGGCAAAAACAAAAATAGTAAAATTTATTGTGAAAGAGATAAGAGTTTTCTTTCCTTTTTTTTTTTTTGCTCCAACCCAAAAGCCTTGGATTCTAAGAGACAAGAAAAAGAAGAAAAGATGGGTTAATAATATTGCAAGGGAATAAAATGAAAGTACATTTAGTCATGGATGATAATTATATTTATAAAGAAGAGAAGCATCCAACTGTTCTCAAAACTTCTATTTTCTTTAATAATGATGGCAACAGGACCCTAAAGCTTGCAACAAAAATGAATGGCATTGCACTAAAGAGTAATGAGTTTCCTTTCTTTCTCTCTCTATATATCTTTATCTCTCTCTCTCACTAACACATAATGAATGAGGGCCATTTCATTCATTCTCCATTACGCTTCAGGATTATTTTTTTTCTTTTAAACTCTCTCTTTCCTTTTTAATGGGTTTTTTCTAAAGTTGCTGTCTTTTATTTTCAAAACCCCATTAAACTTTGTGGATGGAGAGGGAGAGATTATGAATCTTGTTGGGGTTTAAAACTGTGAATCTCTGTTTCTTGGTGTTTGAGTTATTAAAGAAAACTCTACTTTTTTTTTGTACATGCAAACAAATTACCCTAACTTTTTGCAATAACAAATGTGCTAAATTACCAATTTCAATTAAATCTAAAAAATTGCAAAATTTTCTCCTTTTTTTTTTAGCTATTTTAATTTTTTTTAGTGGACATTGCAATTTGGTTGGATCAAAGCTATCCAAATTTCATGTAATAAAAGTTTGAATTGAGGGGAAATTGAGAAAATTAACCAAATTAATAGTATTGGATAAGAAAAAGAACAAAAAAGTTCAAAAACTCAATGTAATAAAAGTTTGGAAGAATATATGTCATGCCATGTAGGATTTGTCGTCAATTTAGATAGTTCAGCAGACAAGGGGAACTATATATGTTCGGGTAATTGAGAACTTAATTAAAACTTTTCAAAATTTAGAGATCAATATAGAATTTGACCCAAATTTTAAGGATCATGCATGCTATTAATTCTTTTTTATTTTACTATCTTTATTCATAATTTTTTTAAAAAATTTATCTCATTTAAAAATTAAAAAAATATATAAAAGGTACAAAAAATCGAAATGACACATTTATATCTTAATTGGTCTTTTTTTTCATAAAATTTATCCAACAAAAAAATAAATACCAAAAAAAAAAAAGTAATAACAAAGGATGCCACATTTGCATCCCATATTGAACTTAGTATATTAATTTCTTAAATTAAGGTAAAAAAAAATTTATTAATATATACATTTACATGTATATAATTTTCAAAAAATCAAATATATACTTATATATATATATATATGTTGAAATGGGTCAAAACAAAACATTCTAAATACGTTTCCAATCTGAATTCGTTTCTTTTTAAAAAACTCAATTCGTCTCAAGTTATTTTGATTTTAAAAATTCATCCTTCATCATATTGATATGTGTCGAAATTCATTGAATATGAATTGTTATGATATCTTCATCAATTAATACATTTCATTGCAAAATTTATTTAATTAAAAAATACAAAAAATAAATGAGTTGCCACGATTAATACTTTTTTCATAAAAAAAAAAGAAAAACAAAAAAATAATAAAAGCTTTTTAAAAAGTAAAAAAATTTCATTGTAGTGCTACGGCGACAGTGGAGATCTATCAAATACGAATTGTTTTGCCATTACTATCTATCCACTTCTTTTATTGTAAAATTTATTTAATTTTAAAAAATAAGAAAAATGGATATCAAGTGGATACGTACATAGGTTTTTTCACAAAATTTATCTACATTTTTAAAAAAATAAAAACAAATTGAAAAAAAAAAGATAGTACATGAAATTTTAAATGAGTATCAAACAAAAATGAAAATGAGTCAAATTTATATAATGGATGGTTGGATTGATGGATTACATCTTAATTATGGACAAATATAGTATTTTTATTAAATTAAGATATTAAATAATATATTTATAATATATAAATATAAAACTAAATAATAATTAAATATATAGTCAAGATAAGATAAAATGCCATTACGCACCTTTTCACTTGACTTTGATTTTTGAGAAAAAATCTTGATTTGATCTCAAATAAAAAAAAACACTCATTAGATTCAAACAATTGAAACCCATCGATACAAGTTGTTTTGTTATCTATACCTTTATTATCATTTTTTTAAAAAAAATTTGTTTATTGATTTTTTTTGTATCAAGTACCATGTATATATATCTGTTGGCTTTTTTTAATAAAATTATCTAATAAAAAATAAAGGAAGAAAAAAATTAAAAAAATTAAAAGGGGAGGATGAACAAACAAAAAGAAAAAAAAAAAAAGTAAATTGCAATGTAATATTAATAATGGTAAGCTTTAACTAATAACTTTTTCTTAAAAAATTATCAAATTAAAAAAATAAAAATAATATTTTTTTAATCAATAATATCAAATGAACTCCACATAAAAAAGTTAAAATATTAAAAATATAAATATTTTAAAAAATATAAATAAAAAATGATAAAAATAAGAAAAAAAAAAAAGGAAGAAAATAACATCACATATGGCATACCCTTAGTATCAAGTTAGCAAGACAAAAAAAAAATTAATCTAAAAAATATTAATTAAAAATATAAAATTAGAAAAATAATTAAAAAAATTTAAAACATAAATACTAACATACCTTTAGTACAAACGAATTCCATAAAAAAACAAATTTAAAATATAGAAAAAAAAGTTTGATATAGAATGGAGTCTACCTTTAAAAAAATTAAATATTTATTAAATATAAAAAAATTTTGGCAAAATAATGCAAAAACCAAAAAGTAAAACAAACAAAAAAACAAAAAAAAAAAAATCACATGGCATGAATTTTGGTCATGACTATATGTGATGAAAATGTATATCATGGATAAAAAAAAATAAAGATAGCAGTTTTTATCTTATATAAATATATAAAAGCTCAAGTTTTTGACAAAAATGTTAAAAGTCTATGTAGACGGCTTAAAATGTTGATATGTAGACAGTTTTAAAAATCGCTACATAACATCTAACATATACATTTTATTTTATTTAATACATTTTTAATTCAAAAATAATTTAACAAACTAAATTGATTATATTTATGTTTTTATTATTAACTTTAAATTACTCGCAATTCAATTCATATTAAAAATATTAAAATTTAAAAAAAATTTAACTTGACAAATTAAATCAATCAATCAATAATTAAATAAATACTACAATTACAATTATAAAATAGTTGATTCTCTAATCAATTATTTGAAACATTTATATTTGATTAAAATAGTATCCAGTAATTGATGTATTTAATGTATAAATATATTAAGCAAATATAATTAAAAAAACTAAATCAGTTATATTTATGTTTTTATTATTGATTTTAAATCACTCTCAATTCAATTCATATTAAAAGTACTAAAATTTTAAAAAATTTCTTAATTTGACAAATTAAATCAATCAATATATAATTAATAAATTAATAAATTAATAAATACTACAATTATAATTATAAAATAGTTGATTTTGTAATTAATTATTTGATACATTTATATTTGATTAAATATAGTATCCATTTGAGTAATTGATGTATTTCATGTGTAAATATATAAAACAAATATAT